TCCGCAGGAAATAGAAACGTTCCTAGCAACACACCACCCAAACACTGTTTAATAACATGTAGGAAAAATGAAGAAATAGCAAAACACAAAGTCACAACACACGAACCTGAAAGGTGGTGGGGTCAGAGTCATCATCAAGGGTTTCTGGAGGTGGGTCTAGGGGATCAGGGGAAGAATCCAACACTTCTGGTGCAACATGAACCACAGTTGAAGAGTGCAGAGGTTTTGGGCACGTGACCCTCAACGTGTTACCCGAGAGAAAGCACAAAGATGGGAACTTTGGCTTGGAAGACAAAGAGGGGGATGAATTGGAGAGAGAAAGAGGAGTAACACAGAGAGAAGAAACCGCCATTGAAGCTCTTCAGTGATTCTATCTCACTCTCTGAACCAGGGTGAAGCAATGGAGCACACTTTGAATATAATTATCCATAGTTTTATTTTATTTTTTTTATTTTTTTTTTTTCTTTTGGACCCAAACACAAAACCCAATAGAAAATGGGCTTTCAAGACCAACATTTCCCGGATCCTGATTCTCCAAAAAAATTTAACACCGACACGAGATACAAATTAAACTCAATTAAATTACCATTTAATAATAAAAAAGTTAAATTGTACCTATGATTAGCCGTTTCTCACTTGACAATTAGTTGATCGTTAATTAACAATAATATACAATTCAAATGGATTGATGAGATGATACTCGTTGACCTTTCCTATTTTATTTTTTTTTGTTCGTCCTGGAATATCTACTGCCGACTGCAATGATTAATCTCTTCGCTACGTTAGCACCTCAAAAGGAACCTTTCCTATAAACTTTATCATTTAAACCAATAAATCATTTAATTGTTTTAGTTATAACTTGGACATTATATTATTTATAACATTTTTGTTTGAGTTAATTTTTTTTTTAAATTCTTATTGAATGCTAATTTGCTCTAAAATTTATAAATTAATTATATTTTGTGAGAACTATTAACATTCATGAAAGAAATGCTTAAATGATCTCTTATTATTTTTCCACTTCACACCTCAGATTAAAATATTTCTCATATATATAAATTGACTTTCAAAAATAATTTACATGCAAACATTATCTTATTTTACACAATTTACTTTTACATAAGATATTTTTTTTCTAAAGCACAACTTATCAAAATCTTTTATGTAAAATAAACGATATATAAATATCATACGACTCGTTTGTTGACACCATTCTACAAAATATATTTTTGAAACAAAGTCCTCCTTCATTTTGTTTTACACAATTTACATGCAAACATTATCTTGTTTTACACAATTTACTTTTACATAAAACATTATCTTATTTTGCACAATTTATATAAATTGGCTTTTAAAAAATATCTTATTTTACACGATTTACTTTTACATAAGACATTTTTTTTCTAAAGCACAACCTATCAAAATCTTTTATGTATAAATAATCGTTAATCTAAAATAAAAATTATCAAACTAAGTATCATGCATATAACATTAAATTTAATTAAAAAACTATATAATTTTAAATAATCAAAACAAAAAAAATAAAAGACTCTTTCATTAGAGTGATTGTTTATTAATATTTTACTTTATTAGAGACTTGAATAAATAAATCTATAACAATTTCATAGTATTTAATATTAATTTATCTTTATCTAAAAAAGTGTTACCTTATTAAATAATAATAATAATAATAATAATAATAATAATAATAATAATAATAATAATAATAAATGATTAAGTGCATTGTTAGTAGGTTAGATTGATGAGAGTATAAGTAAATTATGTAAACAACTCGATTCATTATGAATTCTATGTAGGTAGATTAGGTCGAAAGTGAGTCAAATTTGATTTTTTAATCCATATGAAGTTTTTCATTTTTTTACACAATCTTGACACATTTTTAAGATAGACCGAATTCATCCACAAGACATATTAATTTGTTTGTCATATGTGACTTATCTTGGCACAACTTCCTCTAATCAGTTACTCCTCTCTTGACCACATTCCTTTTACCAAAAAGCTTCGTATCAGATTTGCTTAAATAGAATTTTAAGAATTTAACCATTAAATGAATTAACAAGGTATTATAATTCATACATTGGATTTCTTTAGATAAAATAAAATTATTGTTATTGTTTATAACTACACCTTAATTCGAAACCATAATTATAATCACGCACATTAGTCACGTTAGTTTATAACTTCCTATAATATATCTTAACAATATGACCATGAATACATAAAATCTTACCTTCAATATCAAAGCAAATGTCGTGATCAAGAATATGATCGAGACGTCAAAAAAAAACTTTAAAAAAATATATGATTGAAGCCCGTTAAATTAAAAAAAAAAAAAAAAAAAAAAAAAAAAAACAACAACAACAACAAAATTACAGTACGATGAAGTTTTAGGTCTCAAAACATACAACAATATACACTCGGGTGTTTTCGACACACGTTAAAAGGATTCCAACAAAACTGTTATATATGCATAGATCATACATTTTCTTTTTCATAAACCAGTATTGTTTATGGGAGACAATTGAATAAATTCATACAAAGAAGAAATAAAAATACGTGAAGAAAGACAATTTTATTAAAACATATTACAAATTTATAATGCATGTAATAAGCACGAACAATATATAATAAAAGAATCAGACCGTTTCTTGCATGGATTTCAACAAAACCCAAATACTATAGTTCAACTAATTAAGCACGAACAAGAATAGAAAAATCAAACCTATTCTTGTAGGGATCCCAATGAAATCCAATTTCATCTCCTATCTTCAAACCCCTTCTCAGCACAAAATCCTTAGTCCAATTGTCAATGAAAACATAGCTTCTTGAAGAGGACCAAAACTTGAAGACAAGATAATGCATGGATTGGGTGTCCACATCCCAAATGCTTATTTTGGTTCCTTTTTCATTCATAGCCTCTCTTTGGGATTCAAGGGTCAACACAGGCAACACCAATTCTTCAATCAACTCTTTGGAGAGCAAGAGTCTGCTTAAGTTTCCAAGATCACTCTTTGTGAGCTCCTTTTTAATCTTCCATGGGTCATCATAAATCATCAAATTTGTTGAGTAGCCCCAATGTCTCCCTTCTTCTTTCTTCTTTTTCACCATGCGAGACCTCTTCCTTTCATTAGTGGGTGCTTCGATGCAAGATTTTCTCTTGGTGGAAGGCATGTGTGTAAAATGAGAGATAAAAGGAGATATTATGATACATTGCTAATGCACTGACTAGTGTATTTTATAGAAAAATAGACATGAATTCTTCGCTCTTAATAAATTTCCAATTTTTTTTTTAAATATAATTTAAGAAGTAAGTGATTGGTTTATCTCACGATTAATTTAATTTATATATCTATGAATGATTTAGAGATTAGGAAATTATATCGTATCTATTAGTATATTCGTATATATTTTAGAAATTTTTTTGACATTTAGTTTCCTCCGGTAATACCATATTACATGCTAACATTGGTACATTTTTTTTAATTAATTTTTCTTCTAATTGTATGACATATTATATATAATTAGTCTTCAAATTATGTGACATAGGTTTGACATGATAAATTCACAATTAATTTATATATCCTAAGTTATTAATATTTTAAGAATAGCAATATTGACAAAAGAAATAGTTACTAATATCAATGCACGTGATAAACCCCTTTTATGTATATTAAGGAAAGATTAAGGGAAAGTTTCTTATAATACGCCATTTTTTATATTGATTGTTAATTTGTTACCCAATATTTCTTATATTTATTATAGAATTAGATTATCAAAAATATGAAAATTTGAAAACATTAGCAACAAGAGAAAAGTAAATACATTTAATTATATATATATATTGATTGTTACCCTTCAAATCTTGAACTTTAAATAGATACTTTAAAAAAGTAAATACATTTAATTATATATATATATATATATATTATGAATAAATTCATATTTAATTATTATAGTATTTTTTATCGTAACGACCCACCATAATCCCTATACTCAAAGAAATCATGTTAACTACACTAGTCATCTAAGATAAAATATTAAGTTGGATAATAGAATATATATATATATATATATATATATATATATATATATATATATATAT